AAAGAAAGAATGACAGGAAAAATACAAAACAATATAGACAGACTGACTGATTACTATAAGGAGATCTCAAGACAAGTGGTCAGGTCCCTCTCAGGGCAAACCCCCTTCTAAGACTAAGACTCAATGGGAATGCACGCCCTGATTGGTGACCACGTTCGTCACCGATAAAGGGAAGTGAGGGAAAACAGCAATGAAGCTGCGAACTGAGCCCTACAACGCTCAATAGACTCCTGTGAACCTGGATGGAGACCTGGTTGACCAGCATTTTGGCAAGTCCAGGGGAGTCTTGGACCCAGAGTCAGTGACATAGCCACAGAGGACTAGAGTGGGGAGTGAAGCATCCAGCTGATAAGAAGAGAGGGCACATGCATAAGTACACCCACACTTGCAGATAATACCCACTTGACCTGGCTTCAACGACTGGATGATCCGAGTTCATCCAGAAGAAAGAAGAGGTTATAAAGAATAATCTGATACAATTTGATGAACTTGACATACACTTATGAAAGTAGTAGCTCAAAAGAGGGAACAAGTAGTCCTTACAGCAAGAATCATTCCCACCCCCTTCCATACATAGAGTAGACAGGGATGGGCAACTGGACATTGGCTACCCAGAAGGGGGGGGGGGGGGGCTACAAAGGCAAGAAGTGACTGGCTTACAAGCTTTCAAGAGGGACCCTAGATCCAGAGGACGTGGAGCAAGGTAGAATCTCCACTGAGTAGTATCCATTCTGTATAGTTGGGGCTAATGAAAGGAGATGTGGATAGGCCTCTTGCGATACAATAGTGAATAATTGTTATCAGGACTGATTGTAAGGGCTGGAAATGTAAAGGTAGATGTTTTTTGTCAAAGGGAGGGGAGTGATTAACTTTGCATTCTAGGAGCGGAGGTCCCTGGGACCTTCAAGGGAGAAGGGCGGAGAACGGAATCCTACCTAGAAAAGCAGTGATGTCAGGGATGGAGGTAGAGATGATGACATGGGGAGATGGAGCTGCTGAGGACTTTGTACCCGGAGAGAAAGAGGGGCTGTGTGCGGACGACCGGGGGCGGGGGCAGGTTTGTGGGGTATACCCTTCGGTTGGTAGATGATGCATGGAGGGGATTGTAACCATGGCAAGGAAATGATATACAACGGGATCAATGTGAAGCTAATGTCCTCCCATGTAAACTATAATTCACAATAAAGCATTAAAAACAAAAACAAAAACAATGGGCTTAAAAGTAACAACAATTGTGAAGACGACATGGGACTGAGCAGTGTTTTCTTCTGTAGTACATAGGATTGCTGTGATTCAGAACCAACTTACTGTCACCTACTAACAGAAAAATCTTCACAGAAGCAGATTGCTATATCTTTCTTCCAGAGAGGGACTGTTGGATTCCAACATTTTGGTTAGCAACCAAGGGCTTAATCATCACTCTGCCACCATGGGTCCTTACGTTATATAGTGTTATTGTTGTTGTTAAGTACCATCGAATTACCCTATAGAGGGTTTCAGAGGAGCAGTTAGTGGGTTTGAACTGCTGACCTGGTGGTTCACAGTCCAGTGCTGAATCTTCACCACGACACCAGTAGTCCACGTAATTTATATAATAGGTTTTATAAATGAAGTGTCTAGAGAGTTTAGCCCTTCTATACATTGAAAAGAAATAGCCGTATTAAAAAGTTTGATGCTTTAAGTAAGGTCACTTAACAATATATATTTGTGTTTATATGTAATGATTATAGGATTTTTCCACTTAGACACGCTCTCCAGTTGACCTGAGGTACATAATTTAAGCCTTTGACTTCAACTAGAATGACTGAACACAAAGTAGTATTTTCTTGACAAGGGGATTTGACTAAGGATTGTGAAAGGATAAAATAACATTAGTTTATAGCTTGACTCAACATGCAAATTTTGCCAAGTTATGGAGGAATTTACTTAGTCATTACTCTAAATTTATTTGAAGTTAATAAAATATACAGACCAGGTTAGGTATCAGATGTTTAAATTCAGGCAACTAAATTGAGCTGTTTCCTTTTAAAAGGGGAAAGGGGGCATATTGTATAGTCATAAGAAATAGAAATAGTAGTTTTCATGATTAGTCTTGGAGTCCATTTACATAATTCAGGCAAGTTTTTTGTTAACTATTTCATATCTTACCTAACCACAGTGGCCATTAATGTTTTCAAAATAAGCCTTCTATAAGGCTGAAAATTATTCTGTGTTCTGTAAATTGTTAAAACACTAAGCTGCTAATCAGAAGTTTTGACTATATCCAGAGGTGCCTTGGAAGATAGGATTGGCAATCTGCCTCCCAGATCTCAATCATTAAAAACACTGTGGAGTACAGTTCTCTTCTGACTCACATTGAGTCAGCTAGAAGAGGCCATTTAGACTGCAGCAACTGGTTAAGGATTAGTAGAATTTCATAGCATTTTGTTTTTTATTTCATAACCACAGCACCAATTTACAAGGCTACTCAAGTTCTGCATCATTCCACTGAGGAGTGAAAAACTCTTCAATGTACAACGGTAAGGACACTAAATATTCATTTTGTTTGAATTAGTTCTGTTAGCATCTTTCTTCAAATAAGCAATTTGCTCAGAATTAGGGAAATGTTATTGGATCTCTTGAGGTCTCTTTCAGGTAAAAGTTTCTATGAAAGTTTTTTTCCTGGTTACTTCTTTTAATTAAAAGTGTGAAATGATAGTTTATGAACATTATATAAAATACCTTAAAATAAATTTGTAGCTTCTTGCGTTTTTATCTTTGCCCCTTTATATTAATCATCACTATCAATATAGTCCAGTATAATCAGTTTTATATAGGTAATACACAGCAAAATATTTAAAACATAAACATGGAGCATATGCACTCTGGAGCAGTTTCAAAATTACTTTTTAATAACTACAAGGAGCTCTGGTAGCGTAGTGGTTACTAATCGGGCTGCGAACCTTAAGGTCAGCGGTTCGAAACTACCAGCCGCTCTGCGGGAGAAAGATGAGGCTTTCTACTCCCATAAAGATTTACATCCTCGGAAACGCTATGGGTCGGAACCGACTCGACAGCACTTAACAACAACAACTGCTTCTAAAGAGGAGTCCTGGTATGGCACTGTGGGCTAATGCGTCAGACTGCAAAGTCATTTGAACTGCAAGATTTGTGGTTCAAACTCATCAGCTGCTCCATGGAAACCCTATACAGGGTCGCTATTGGTTGGAATCGACTTGATGAAACTTAACAACAACAACAACAACTTCTAAAGAAGTAGTTATTAAAATGTAACCTAAAATTTTAAGGATTATTTTTAGTTAAATACTTTCTATTGTTAATTACTGAGGTTCTCCTACATAAACACTCAGAATAATTTTTATTATAATATCATATAGGAGCTGATTTTTAAAAATCATAACTTTAGCAGTTAAAGTTAGCCTAAATTTTTTCTATTTTGGAGTACACAGAAATAAATTGTATTTGCTGCATCTTAATCCATCAAAGTATTTTATGACAAGTAACTAAATAGTTTGGGCCACAAATAGCATTTTATTTTGACTAGAATACTCAATTTAAATGTAACCATACACTCTTCTATCCATTCTCCCAGGAATAACGGGATATAAAATTTTCAAAGTACATATAGAAAGGTACTTTTTCAAGGCATTTCAGAAGAAATAACTATTTTGCAAAAAACTTAATAGTAGGAATATGCTCTTCCTAATTAGTGTTGGGAGAGCTAGAAAAAACAACTTAGCTTTTTGGCTAATTTGTCACATGTCAAGTCATGCTATTGTAATCTAAAGGGCATTGGCTTAATAAACTGCTGACATAAAAATTGAATCTGATTACTTTAAAGAGCTATAGATTGGTGTGGTTCTTTAGGATAAGCACTGGACTGCAAGGTCAGTTTGAACTGCAAGGTTGGTGGTTCAAGTTCACCAGATGCTCCTCAGAAGCCCTATACAGGGTCACTATGAGTCAGAACTGACACAACAGCACATAACAACAACAACAATAGATCATATATAAGTTATATTTCACAATTATTTTCAGATAATTTAAAGCCTGGAAAGAGAACAATTTCAACTTCGTAAACTAAAATTAAAAGTCTTATTCATACTGCTATTTTTCTAGTCTAATTTACCATGACTGATACACCAAGTGAAATTAAAATCTACCAATCTAATGCTATTTTTGTATTTATAGACTCATATGTATAGATTCAAATACACTATCTACCTTCAAGTTTCAATTTTTTAGTTTTCTCAAAAAACTGCAATAATTTATTTTTGTAAACTCTATATAAATTTCAACATTTGCTACAGAAACAAATATGTAAATATCACCTAGGAATGATCCAAAAGATGAAAGGAATTAGAAATCACATTTATTTAGAATGTTATACTTTTCATTTGATCTGTGTTCCCTTTGGATTAAGTGGTCTGTAAGCTATAAAGTCTATTGAAAGTAATATTTGTACGTTTTGTCTATTTTTGTACCCCAAAATTTGCATGTACTTCAATAGCTACTAGATAATTACAATGAAGCCAGCTTTCATGAATAAAATCCAAATTATTTCACTTTTTCACAGGTGTTAGATTAGTTTTCTTTTGGGCATAGTCAATATAGAAGAGACAGTTGGCATGGTAAACTGGCTTCACAATATTTGGGTACCCAGTTCAAAACTACCAGCTGTTCCGCTGGAGAAAGATGAGGCTTTCTGTTCCCATAAAGATTTACAATCTCGGAAACCCTGTACAGGGTCGCTATGGGTCGGAACCGACTCCACAGCACACTACCACCTAGTGTCAATATTCAGCAATAGATTAAATTATCAAAGAATATTTATTGAGTATCTTGTTTTGTGGCCCAAGTCCACTGCAATCAAACATCCTATAGCATACATTTGGTATTATAAACAACTTTTATGAACATTTGATAAGGTACTTAAAGTGCATAACAGAACAATAGTCTTTCTTTGGCTACAAATAAAGAAAATGTATGATTATCTGTAATTATTTTAGGAATATGACTGTACCATTAAAGACAATGATAATTGTTGGATGCCAATAAGCATGGTTCAATTTGCCTTTTCCTAAAGAAACTTGACTGTGATCATTCACTTTGAGATAGTCTGCAACATTTACCAGTGTAGATGTCACAGGGGAGTGGTACCTATAAAACCCATAGGGAGGATATAAAGAGCTACCAAGTTTTTTCTGGTCAATGGAGTTTTGGGGGAAAATGTTTCCATATGCCTGTAATTTATATATTTGATTGACAGAATTAGATGCCAGTAGGCACTGTCCACTGAAGTCTTCAAATGAACCATTTTTTGAGTTGGTGGCCCCTAAGGAAGATAACATGGACATTTCTATCATGAGTGGGGCTACAGACTGGGAACTGTTGCTGTTTGTTAGCTTTTCAGGAACAAGCAAGACAAGAGGCTGCTATCGCCAAAAATTAGTTGGGCAAATCTTGTAACAAAGGGGAAGATTGATTTTGTTCAGGTATGCCTCCAGATGGGACATTCCAAGGCAGCTTGTAGATAAGTGAAACGTAGGTGGTGAGCAAGGTTGAGAAAGCAAGGGATTCAAAGTAGAAGGAACTCCTCTGCTAGAGGTCATTGGAAATGAGCCACTGCTTCCACCTGTGAAGGACAATTCAGGTAATGAATAATGAACTTCATATTCCTGTTGAATTATCAATCATATTTATGGCCATCACCATTTCATTCTTAAATTAGTTTTGTATGCAAATCCACAGTTCTTTTAGTTTCTTTGGGAAAGGACATGCTTATTACCCTCATTAAAGTTGAACTAGTATATCTACTACTACCACTGCTATTAGAACTATTACTATGTATACCATGTCCAGCATTCATTAGACTTAAGGACTCTGCTAGGCAGCTGAAACACTTTTATTCAATAAATTGCAAAAGAAGTTTGACTATAATGTTACCCAGATTCAATTATGTCTTACAAGTTAAGCTAGCATTTAAAATTTTTTAACTTAAAAAAATATTTACTAACATAAGTGATTGACTAAATTGAACAAATTAGTTGTTTTGGATTTATAGATAGCTTTGGTCTGATAAAGGAGCCCTGGTGGTGCCGTGCTTAAAGGACTCAGCTGATAACTGAAAGGTCAGTGATTCCAACTCACCAACAACTCCAAGGAAGAAAGATCACGCAGTCTGTTTCTGTAAACATTAGTCTTAGAAATCCTATGAAACAGTCCTATGTTGTCCTATATGGTTGCTATGAGTCAAGTTGCCAAAAAGCAACTTGATTTCAGTGGGTTTTTGGCTTTTCAGTATGATAAAATTCAGAGAAAATGAAATTGATATTGCATAAATGAAAATGGCATACATAAAAGCATTATATTTTTCCTCATATGAAAATAATGAAGGGGGAGTCTTCCACAGTGCAGTATATGAAGAATTGAAGATTATCTTGGAGTAAGGAGCATCAAGATGAGAATTAAAGTGCTCATGTAAGCGTTGTCAGGTGATCTTTTATTGTTGCCTACAATTAGTGGTTCAAACCAACCAGCCACTTCTTGTAAATCCTAAACTCATAGGGTCGCTATGAGTTGGAATCGACTCCATGGCACTTAACAATAACAACAACACAAACATCTACTTACTAATAAATATAAGGACCAGAAACATCTAGACTCCTTATATTTGTGTTTGAATTATATCAAACAATTGATTATTCACGGAATTTGATCAAAGTAGTTTTATTTATTTGGTGTCTTATTTCTTAGCTATTGTGTGTACGTAGATATAGCCGGAGCTTTTATCAACAGGGCATGAATTATCTCTGTGATAAAATATTTAAGGATTGTTTTAAAAATTAAAACACCTTTCTTTGAAAAATGAGAGTAATCTAAACATCTTAAATAATAAAGGAATGGTGTATTTAAAATTTTTAAATCAAGATCATCTGTAACTTTTTCATTGTTAATGCACTTTTGGGTGACTTGGTTATTTTTAAAAATCCTACTTACACACTATTAGTTAAAGTGGTATTTAAAGTGATAATGTCAATTAGTGGTTCATATTTTTCTATATAATTCCCTAAAGCATATCTATGCAGTAAATTCTTTCACCAAATAACTAGACTTGCTTTTTCCACATTTCATCTGGTTATTATGGAATCCTGCAAAAGACATTCTAACTACAATGTTAATAATTTCATCCATAATTTTAACTTCAAAATAATATTCTAAGATTTTAATTTTAATTAAGACAAAAGTAGTAAATAATGCTATGCTGCTTGTTTATAAAGACTCATATTTATTTTGCATTCTTGCACTAGAAACCCTGCCTTATCTGAATATTATTTAATATATCTGAGAAGGAACCCTGGTAGAGTAGTGGATCATAACCTGAGCTGTTAATAAAAAGGTCAGTAGTTCAAATCTACCAGTTGCTCCATGCGAGAAAGATAAAGCTTTCTGCTCCCATAAAGATTTACAGCTATGATTTGGAACCCACTCAGTGGTACAGACCACTGTCACTGACACCATACTACCTGAAAACATACACCTTCCAAATATGTTTAAATGCTGTGGAAATTAAATTAATTTTTATGACTTAATGTGGCACTGTGGGGTAATGCGCTGGGCTGCAAAGTCGTTGTGAACCATAAGGTCAGTAGTTCAAGCTCACTAATTGCTTTTCAGAAGCCCTATACAAGGTTATTATGGGTTGGAACCAATTCTATGGCACTTAACAACAACAACAGTATTATTTTAATTATGTTCTTCACAACAAAAGGAAATTATAGCGAAGTGATGGTGTAATTTAATAGAAACATATGCTGAGAATTTCTCACAAAATATAAACTATTCTTTTCAGTGTCTAATATATCTGCAAATAAAGCCACTTATGAACAACATGTAGATCCTAAAAAATATGAAAAAGTGAAATTTTGATGACTCCAAATGGCTCCTGGAGATCTCAGGGTGTAAGTAATCTCATGAACATAGAGGTTAATTAAGTCTAACATTACCACAACTTACTTTCTTCATGCCAGCTTTCCTCCTTTTGCCCCTTACCTACCCAACACAGTAAATATATGTACCTATTGGTACCTACTGACTTGTAAGGACTCCTGGTGTGGCTCTGTAGGATCAGCACTGGGTTGTGAACGACAAGGTCTGAAGTTCAAACCCACCAATAGTTCCTAGGAAACCCTATACAAGGTTGCTATGAGTCGGAATCAACACTTAACAACAACTAGCTTGTAAACATACATTTTCTGGCATGTATTTATCCACTTGTGGTGGCACATTCATTAAGCTCTTGACTACTAACCAAAAGGTTGGTGATTCAAATCCACGCAGTTGCTCTAATGAAGAAAGGAATAGGATTTTTTGGAGAAAGACTTGGTGATCTGCTCCTGTAAAGATTACAGCCTTAGAAAACCCTATGGGATAGTTCTACTCCATCACATAGGGACACCACAAAATTGACTCTATGGCATCTAAAAATCACAGTATTTTCCACAATGGTTCATCAACACATGCAACTGAAACTTAATGTTAGAAATTTGCTTACTTTGTGTGTCTGCACCAAAGGTTTTAAAATCCAGAGTGATAGAAGGGCTCCATGTATAGGTTTCTAAACAACCATCCAATACATCCCAAAAAAGATATTTCAGCAATTCCAGAATTCAATTTCTCAAAGTAATGATTTGTATAAATTTAATTTTGTTATCTTTTTAGGTGTGATAGTCTGAAATATTATTGTGCTTTAGCTAGTCTTCTGAGTAAAATTCAGTCAAACCCAGGAATCTAGAGTATGCATTGCCTTAAATGTAGGAGCCCTGGTGGCACTGTATGATAAACAATGGACTGATAACTGCAAGGTCAGCAGTTAAAACCCACCAGCTGCTCCGCAGGAGAAAGATGAGGTTTTCTGCTCCCATAAAGACGTACAGCTTCGGTTGCTAAGAGTCAGAACTGATTCAATTGCAGTGGGTTTGTTTTTTATTTGTTAAATGTATATGCCGAAAGGAATTGTAGGATGCAAGGTTTTGGAGGCATAACATCTATGTTACATTCCTATCACATGCTAGATACATAGCAAGTCATTTGAGCCTTTGAGTTTCATTTTCTTAACACTTATGAAAAATGTTACGTAACTATCAGACATGATTGTTACTATGTTGGTTACCTGTTTCTTCCAGGATCTCTAAATCCTTTAGCAAAAGGATTCCTGTCTATTTTCAGTTTTGTAATGTATGGATTCAAAAGACAAAAATCAATGTTCTCAGTGCTAATAATGGTTACAACCACAAAACATTTTGCAGCATGTAATATGGAAATTGATGTAAATGTGATATATGCCAAGTCAAATTTGGAATCGTTTTCTCCCAGAAATGCCAGTTGAACCTCAAGGTCAGCAGTTCAAGCTCACCAATCACTCCTTGGAAACCCTATACAGGGTCACTATGGGTTGAAACAGACTTCACATCACTTAACAACAACATCTTTGTTCTACTCTTCTTTCTAAGGAGAATAAGTCACACAATTTATAATTAAAATTGCGTTGATGACAATGTAACAAAACTGAATATTTTCAATTGTGGAAAAAATAAATAAAATGCAGTTTGTCTTCATCTCACAGTTCCCTCTGGAAATGTCTCCATTTTCTTTTCCTTACCTACTGGTTTCGGTAGGCAGTCACCGTGGTAAACTCAGTTTCTTCAAAGGAAAATGTTTTAACCCCTTCAATTGGCAGGGACTGAATCTGAGAAAGGCCAACCCTGCTGTCCTGCCCTATCACGTGCACATGGGGCTTGTACTTGTGCATGGACTGCAGAATGATCTGGAGGTGAAATGGTCAAATGCTGCCCATGAAACTGTTTTCCTCTCTGAATACTGTCCCAATCACATCCCCCCACCTTCTCTAACATGAGTACACAGAAAAGTAGCTACATAAAGAGGCCTTTTCTTTGCCGCCTGGCTCCCACCAGAAGCCCTTGGGAGCACTGTGGCTCCATATGATAAGCAATGGACTGTGAATCACACAGTCTATGGTTCGGGCCCACCAGATGCTCCTTGGGAAAAGATGAGGCTTTTTGCTCCCATGCTCCTGTGATGATTTAAAAAGCCTTGGAAATCCTATACAGGGTCACTGTGAGTTGCAATGGATTCCAAGGCAATTAAAAGCAATAAGGCATGAGGAGTTTCTGGAGAGAGGTGCTGACTTATCACAGGGGAGTTGTGATTGTATTTCCAGATAGGGCTTGTTCCTGCTTCTAACCATGGGTGATTATGTACTATAGAAGCCTCCTTGGGACTGATTGTCTGCCATAAGCTACATGGACTTGATGAACAATATTCTGGCATTCCCCACCCACTTCAATCTTGGGGAACTTAGACTTTGTCTTTTGGTAGAGGGCATAGGACCAGACCATGCAAGATAGGGGACATGTGGCACTGAAGGTGCCTGTAAAGGTCTTCCATGGGGCTGAGATATAAGGGGGAAATGGTTTGAAGCTGTGCTCTAGGGTCCTTCCACTTGCATCCTCCTACCATACCACTCAATATCATGCTACACCAAACCACACATACAACACCACACCACACTTGCCACACCATACCACCTAAATCTCACCAAAAGTGTTCATTTGACTGCATGAACTAAGTGAAGGTTATCAAAGTTCAATTATTGCACAGGTGGCTGAGGTGCAAGAGAGCTTGGGGAAGCATTCCCTCCCATTCTTTCAGACCAGGCATCCTTGCTGAAACAGGCTGCTTTTGATCCCCAAACTCTCAGTGGTCACCACCTGCATCCCCAAGCACTCTCAGATGCCAAAAAAGCCCATGGGAGCTGTGGGGTGACTACTTTGCTCACGTGCTCAGAGCTTGGACATTTCCTATAGACCAGAGCATGCATGTCTGGCAGAAAGACAGATGGTATTTATGCTCACATACATGGTCTTGGTCATCCATCTCATTATTGGTGAATTTCATACAATCAAAACTGATGATCTGCTGCATCCAGGTCTCTCCCGAGCAGGGTGAGTCTGGGTGGACATATATCCTGGAGGTGATGCATGTATGGTCTATATTTCCAGCTACCATCCACTGGGAGCTATGATTGTTGTTGTTGTTATGTGCCGTGGAGTCAGTTCCGACTCATAGCGATCTGCTGGGAGTGGTTGAGGGTAGAGGACAGCTTCCATTTGCTGCTTGACACAGTCCAGCAAATAAGAGTCGTCTTGCAAGACAGATAGCTCTCAGAAGTTGCTTTCTACCTTCTCTTTGTTGTTGTTGTTAAGTGCCGTCGAGTCGGTTCCGACCCATAGCGACCCTGTACAGGGTTTCCGAGGGTGTAAATCCTTACGGGAGTAGAAAGCCTCATCTTTCTCCCGCGGAGAGGCTGGTAGTTTCGAACTGCTGACCTTAAGGTTCGCAGCCCGATTCGTAACCACTACGCTTAGAGTAATCTTAATTTTACTTATAATAATATATAATTTGGCAATATTCACAGCTTTTCACTATGAGTTCTACAAACCTTAGGAAAAACTAGCTTAGCAACAATTGCTTTCAGCTTTGGTGGATTGAATACAAAGATAATTGTGTAAATTACTCCCTTTCATTAGAAAACCTAAGTAACTGCATTTGTGAGGCCACAAAAGCAGATAGCATTTAGAGTCAAGCTGACCTACCCCCATAGGCCTCACCACATTCAGTCACTAGCTAGAATTCACAAACCCCTACATACAAGCATCTGCGTAAACAAGCAGACAATAATGAACTTAAGTGAAAGATAGTTTTGATTTAATAATCTATACTTCCTGTAGCAATTAGCCAGGTTGGGCTTTATGTCACATAACTTAAAAGCAATTTAATGAATACTTTAGAAAAATAAATAAGTAGATGTTAGTTATACCTTTATTATAAAAATAATAATACATTATGTAAGATAGAAAGTTGACAATTAGTAGGAATAATGAGGTAGTGCAAGCATTAATGATTAGTAGAAACCTATGTTACTAAGAAAGTGTAATCAGTAGTCTGATAACTAGCAATGATTTGTGTAAGGTTTAACTTAATCTTTAAGTGGAAATAAGAAGAAACCGTTTATCACATGCTGAGAAAAGAGATGAAAGTCAAAGTTGTCTAATGACCAGGTGCAAGAATGTTGTGAATAACTGTGTAATAATTCAAGAAAAGATCAAAATGTTAGTTCATTATGTACTGTGTAGTTTTAAGTATAAAAAATAAAGACTTGCTGAGCTGGGCTGGCAGAAGAGGCAGAAAGAAGGCAGAAGTAGCAGAAGCAGCAGAGGAAAGCAGAGAGCAGGAGTAGAGGCAGAAAGAGGCAGGAGGCAGGAAGTGGCAGAAGTGGCAGAAGCCGCAGAAGGAGGTAGAAGCAGAGTGCAGAAGCTGGAGAGAACAGCCAGATAGCACAGCAAGCTGAAAAGCCTCTCGAGTTGTATTCATTTCTCCATCTGCTGATTCCGTGTATTCTCTCGTGTCCCACGACCCCCGCGGAGAGCCGGTCTCCCTGCAGCGACCCTTCACAAGGTTTCTGAGGCTGTTAATCTTTACGGGAGCAGAACGCCTCATCTTTCTCCCACGGAGCAGCTGGTAGTTTCGAACTGCTGACCTTGCGGTTCTCAGCCCAATTGGTAACCACTACGCTACCAGAGCTATGATAAACATACCTTAAAAAGCATGGGAAGTGGCATTACTTGTAGCAGACCAAAGTAAGGAGTGGAGTCCTGGTGTGGTGCCGTAGGATAAGCACTTGAACTCCAGGTCGGTGTGAACTTCAAGGGAGGTGGTTCAAACTCACCAGCTGCTCTTAGAAACCCTATACAGGTTGCTATGAGTCAGAGTAGAAAGCACTTAACAGCAACAACAACAAAGTCAAGATTGTTGGAGAAAGGCTATAGGATTCACGTCCAAAGGAATTCAGGCAAGATTAGCTTGCTCATACCAAAGGCAGAGGCATAACATGATGCACAGGGACAGAAAACAAGATGCAAATAAGCATAAATTATCAACATTTAATAAAGTGCTAGGGTGAGTGAAATGTCATAGGATTTTAGAGTCTGATATATATTTCCTCACATAAGCTGCAACAAAAATTGATCTAACTTATTTTAAAGCTCAGAAAATTACAGGAAAAATCTATGTATTACTGGCAAGAAGCAGAGAGGTGAAGTGGATGTCTGTTCATCCTATGGCCTCTAGTCCCTCTAGTCCTCATCAGAGAACTTTCACCAATAAGGCTTTAACACCAGAATACCCCAGGAATTACGTTCAGTGCGACCTTGAGATTTATGTTCTGAATATTTTCAATATCAACAGCATGCAGCTGTGTATAGCATTTTTGAACTATGTTGCCAAGTGCAGGTGCATCAGTAGAAGCAAATAACTTGTTCTGCTGTTTCCAGGCTCTAGAGCTGTGCACTACACACCCAGCACTGATTAGTATCAGACTCTCTCATTGGGGGGACAGGATCTGACCTCTTGGTTGAGTATTCACAGTTTCAGTGCCAGTGGTTCCCACATACCTCCTGAAATGCTAGAATGAAGGCAGTCCCACAGACCTTGCTCAAATATGCCTCTTGTTGTTGCTAGGTGCCAATGAGTCAGTACCAATTCATAGCAACCTTATGCACAGCAAAACGAAACACTGCCTGATCCTGGGCCAACCTCATTACTGTTGCCATGCTTGAACCCATTGATGCTGCCACTTTGTCAATCCATTTTACTGAGGGTCTTCCTCGCTTTCTCTGACCCTGCACCCTACCAAACATGATATCCTTCTCCAGCGACTGGTCCATCCTGACAATATGTCCAAAGTGTGAGAGACAAAATTTGGCCATCCTGGCCTCCAAGGAGTACTCTGGCTGCACGTCTTCCAACACAGATCTTTTGTTTCTTTTGGCAACCCATACTTTCAATATTCTCCTCCAGCACCACAACTGGAAAGCATCAATTCTTCTACGGTCTTCCTTATTCACTGTCCAGCTTTCGCATGCATATGAGGTTATTGAAAATACCATGGCTTGGGTCAGGCGCACCTTAGTCTTCAAGCTGACATCTTTGCTCTTCAATACTTTAAAAAGGCCTCTTAGCTGCACATATGCCTTGTAGCTACAGGACAGTTCAGCTTTATTGAGCTTGCTCTAAATCAAGGACTTAAAATGAAAACTGTACGCCCATCCTCTGGGACCAGACTTCCAATTCTGATGGAAAGATGTGGGAAGGAAGAAATGACTGATCCAGGGGTGACAATTGTTGGCCTGGTCCAGCCTTGAGTGGCAAATTAGGGCAAATTAAGACATTGCTCTTTGCTCCCACTGGGGCCAGGGGGCATCAGAAGCATGGGCCTACCATGAACCTGGGGACATTTTCCTCCAAACTCCTCTGAATTTCTTTACTCCAGGCTACTGGATAACTTGCCCCCTTAAAGTTTAAACAGTCACAGAAAGTAGTCAGTAGTCTAGATACCTAGAGTATGTTGAAGCTCCAATTTGCACCCATGTTCCAGGAATGGAGGTGAAAGAAGAATGAGACTGCTCTTACTCTCTGATTTGAGCAAGATTATTCAATTTCCAAAAGCCCTAGGGAAAGTAACTTCTTCCTCTTGCTAGGGTTTTCAAGATAGTGCTTTCAGATTTTAAGCCCCAATCCTCATTCCTTGAATGGTCTTGGGTACCTTCCTACGATATGCTTACCTATAGCATTTGGAATCCACTGGCACCACATCGATGGCCACACAGTATTGCTTCCCTGGGTCCAATCCTTTTACCTTGACGTGAACAGAGGGAAACAACTGCCTGTAGGAGAGAAGATAGGTACTGACTAGGAATCTTTCAGAAACTTTTGGTTGGAGGCTGCGTCATAGAGAAATTCACATTTTAATGAAAAGTGAAGGGATAGCTTCCCATCCCAGATGGGTTTGGAGAGTGGCAACTGATGTCAGAGAAATAATGGATGATTTGTATGACTAGATGAATTGACGCAGTGGCTACAACAATGGTCTCAAACATAGAAATGATTGTAAGGATGATGCAGAATTTCCTTCTGTTGCACACTTGTTAATATGAGTGGAATCAATTCAATAGCACCTAATAAGAAATTTCATTGAAGTGTCCAGAGCTTATTAGTGTAGCAGAATATCCTTACTATAAGGCAAACTAAAGGCTTTGTCTAGTCACCTTCACTTTACTATAATAAAACACAAAAGAAGAGAAAGTCAGAGATGAAACTGTTCACCATCCCTCCTCCTCTCCAGTGTTCTGAAGTTCTTTCTCTGAGACAGATTTTCAGTACTTTCCGTGAGGCAGATTTAGGAAAGGCTGAAATTAAGAAGACACACACACACAAAAGTCACCCAGCTGCCATGAAAGGGCATCCCCACACCAGAGGTGGCCAAAAGTAGGAAAAGGTCCTACTTATATTTGCCTGGGCCCCTAGGCTCTGTGAGATAAGATATTTTCCACTGGTGATTATAAAGCTTTTAAAGGAGAAGACTGGCCACCCCCTGAGACAGTATGGCTGACATGTGGCATATGATTGGATATATCTCATTTTATATGAGGTAGTGAGTTCTTGGCAACACAGTGTATAAGGAAGAAAGACTGAGCCACAATCTTAAGCCAGGCATATTTTAGACTGAGTGCTTGAGAGTCAGTGACTTTCTAATGCCTGCTTATATGGTGGGTAGCGGTGATGGAGGGTATTAAAATGTAAAACTGTAGGCACTGTATCTAAAGGGTGGGTGGGATTCAGTACATTAAGCACCTATTGTGTGCAGGGCTGGTTCCTCAGCTCTTGAACAACTTTGGTAGAGTCAAACCTGCCCACCTTGGTAATGATCATCTCAGTCCCAATGTCATGGAATCTTTTCCACAGCTCGGATCCTTGAAGCTCCATTTGGATAACATTTTTCACTTCCAAACTTTCCCTGCTTTTGCCTTTGTGGCCACTGCCACTTTTTCGAGGGCTGCAGTTGCTGCCTTTGCCACCACCGCCAGACAATGCAGTCAGTTGCTGAGGGTTCTGTCTTGGGTCTCTTTTGTGCTGAACCTAGAAACGCCAAGAATTTGAGTGACATTTTGCGCTAATTTTTGCTAGCACCTATATTAAGGCAAGGTGACTTGGTCCTTCCCCAGAAACTCGGCATGAATACTCAACCTCCTGAAGCCCAAAATGGAGAAATAGAGCTCCAGATGGCACTCCAAGAAAGAGTAGCTTTTCTTAAGCTGCCCTTTCTCCTGGAGACTCTGTGTCTGAGACTGAATTCCCCAGGGATCTGATGAGACTTGGGGTAGAAATGAGACTTGAGCTCATTTATACCCCAAGAGGCAACCACCCTCTCTAGTTCTCAGAGCTTCACAGAGGTCGGGAGACTCCCTTCTTCTCAAGTATATGGGAACCTTTTGTTTCATAGGAAAAGAACCGCAGTACTCCAGACTTAAAGGCACTGAAACTTCCTTGGCAGCCAGGTAGTCTAGATGTCCCCTAGCTGCTATTGCTGCTGCTGCAGATCAACTAGGTGAGGACATCTAGCAGTGCTTCTGATCAAGAGGAGCGAGTCAAGGATCCAAGGGAATTGGAGTTGGGGGAGGATACTTACCAGGCTGTCCAGGGTTCTTCCCTGCTGCTCAGCACCTCCTCTCCTGTCCATCCTCATTTTCTTGAAGCTCAGGCTGGAATTCTTCTCTTGTGTCTTGCACTTTTCTTTTGCTGGATTTCGCTACCAAGGCTTCCACGGAGAAGGCATGTGCTCAAAGCCATAACTAGAGAAGGCAAAGACAAAGTGCACAGCAAAGTTTCAAACAGAGTCTTGGGGAGGCGGGAGTGCGGGAGCGAAGAAAGGAGGGAGCCAAAGATAGGCAAAAAAAAATTGAAAATCCCCCAATTAAAAGGGAAAAAAATTCTCAAGATTATCTGTCTTTCTATTTATCTATTTGTTTATGATCTCACCCTTTGAATATACAGAATGAATGGCGAGAAAATCAATCTGGAGTCTAACTTATCCAAAGTCTTATCTCCTTTCTTTTTGCACTCTCCTCCCTTCCAATGGGCAAATGTGGATCATCAGGCCTCAGATCCCTGCTCCCAAAACCTGGCAGAGCTTAAAGAGATTGGCAAATATGGGACTTTTAAGGAACAGATGTGCACCAATAGCAGTCCTGGCTGCTAGGATTGGGAGATAGTGTTGCACTAGACTGAGTGAATGCAGGCTGGTTACAGCCTCCATAATTTGTTTTGGAAACTGTTGGAAGTATAAAGACATCCTGAATGACATTCCAGAGTCTGACTGAAGAGCAGGATGGTGGAAAGGAGCTCTGCATAGAAGGGATAAGAGAGGAAGAGAAGGAGACAGGATGGACTACAATACAAGGCTATTGCTTTACACTAAATTGTTAAACTCAAAGAAACAGGACATAATTACCATTGAGGGTCCACTTTCTAACGAAATGCAAATACTATTTAAACAGACTCCAAGAAGCATATCAAGGCCTTTTGCTCTCCTGCAAAGAAACCAGGGAAAGAAAAAGGAGTACAAATTTTCTGGACAGGTTCACTCTGCAACAGGGGCTTCAAACTGGGTGGGAGGTAGTGTCGGTTTGTCCTCTTTCTCTGGATGTGGAGTCTAAGGGTGAGCAGGCAGGAGACCAACCCCCCCCCCCCCCCACACATATGTTCACTATCAAAGATCAGAAAGTACCTGGGCCTTCAACCTCTATTCCTGCTGTAGCCCAATATGCAAACTCACAGACTTCTTACTAATATGACTTAATCAGCAAACACAGCCTGAGGGCTCCAGGGACACCAGCTCAAATAATTGATTCCAGTGTCTCCTGGAAAATCTTCTTGGGTTGGATTTTACCTTTCTTTAAAATAGCTAAAGACACAGTCTTCTTGTCAGATAGAGATTTGTCTACTACTTCTAAAAAAAATATTTCTGCACATTCAGAAGTGAGATGATTACCTGTGTGCATGGTATTTGGTCATCTTTCTATCATCAGAAATAAGAAATCAGACTGCATATTTAGTAATGGCAAGTGCACTTTTGCAGAGATTCTCCTGTTCTCATTTGGCACAATAAAGATATTTAAAGCCAATTCAACTTCGTTTAAAATGGGATGGAACTTAAATTAAATGGTAGTCCTGGTGTGGCACTATAGTATAAGCACTGGACACCTAGCCACAAGGTTCTCAGTGCAATCCCACCAGCTGCTCCTTGGAAACCCTATACAGGGAAGCTATGAGTACAAATTGACTCCAAGGCCAATAATAACAATAAGAAGCTCTATATTGGAGTTTAAGAAGAACAGAATTTTAATATCAGCTACTTAGGTACAAATGTGCCCTGCCTATGTTTTCTGTGTTACTTAGGTGGGAGTGGTGGAGGAGGAGGGCAATGTTCAGCTGGTGCATTTAGGTAATTGGGCATGGCAGGTTTGATCTCATGTTGTTCAGTGCCATTGAGTCAGTTCTGACTGATAGTGATGCTATACAGGGTTTCTGAGTAGTGGTTGGTGGATCTGAACTTCTGACCTTGTAGTTCAAACTAACATTGCAGTTGAGTGCTTTTCCTACAGCACCACACCAGGGTTACTTGTAACCTGAATGCTGTTGAGAGAGTTGATTCAATAACCAGTTATTCACTGTTCATCATGCAGAGCTAAGGAACACACTATTCCTACCCTGGGGGAAGAGTAAAGCTCACAGGGCAAGACCAACTCCAGTGTACAAAGATAGGAAGTAACAAAGTCTCAATATAATCTTGGCTATATCTCCATGGGATTTTTTAAATTTCTGAACCCATTAGAAAAAATGGAAATATTAATGCATTTTTCATCTCCTATTAGTCAGAATATATGTATACATATGTATATAGATATATATGCTGTTGTTGTTAAGAGCCATCGAGTTTGTTCCAACCCATAGTGACCCTGTATAGGGTTTCCAAGGAGCAGCTGGTGAGCTTGAACCACCAACCTTGCAGTTCAAACGGCTCTGCAGTCTGGCTCATTAACCCACAGCGCCACACCAGGACTCCATTTAGATATATATAAGTTGTTATTATTAAATGCTGTCAAGTCTTTTTTAACTCACAGAGACCCTATATAGAGTTTCCAAGGAGTGGCCAGTGAGCTTGAACTGCAAACCTTGCATTAAAAGTGGCCTTGCAGTCCAGTGCATTAACTTTTAGTGCCACACCAGAATGCTTTCTCTAAGTATATACATATATCTATTGCATATTCTTAGCTTAAAAGCCACAGACCAGAAACAGAAAAAAATAAGAGTTTTTATGTAAATTTTAGAATGCTAGTCACCTGGGGAAGATTTAATTGCAGATTAGGGAGAAGTGCTGTACAGACCTCCACCAGCAACAACACAGAATACCAGACGAAGTAGGTTCAGGGGACAGTCCCAGAACTCTGAACTACATGTAAAGAAATATTTAGAAAGATCAAAGGCTTACTGCTAGTGGGATTTGTAGCAGAAGCAAGAAAGGTGGTGTTTTCTGATCTGTGGTGGCCAACAGTTCTTGGAGTGGCCATCATGGGCATGCAGAGCAAATTAAGGATCATAGGAGCGCTCCCACCACAGAGGTCTGGCTTATCTTTGAAGATAAAGGAGTGGACATTTCTTTTTCTGTTCATTAGTCTTGCACTATCTGTGTACCTCCCCTCTGGTGACTAGAGGGGGTGCCTGAAAGAACCCACGCCTGGATGGTTCTACTATGCATGCACACAGAATCTAAGAAGGGGAAGGAAGCTGCTTAAAGCAGAATGGTTTCCCAGAATGGTTTGAGCTGGACCTGAGCTGTTTGTCATTTGGAGAAAGTCTTGAATGGGGTTGTGGAGGGGAAGTAAGACAGACTAAAAAGGAAACAGGCTGAAAATTAAATCCTGAATTTTGTCATAAGGAACAACAGAAACATCTTGAAATTTCTCAGGTGGCATTGAAGGCAAGATGCTGAGAGTGGAGCATTAACGACATACTCAAATTTTGCTACAGATATTTTTGTGTGTGGTTATAGACTATAGTATCCAATTTGTTTGTTTTTGTTTTGTTTTGCTTTGGTTTTGTTTTTGGACGCCTTTTACTTTCAAGGTGCTCTTTCCCTCCTTACATTACCCAAGAAGAGACCGCAATTGCGAACATATAACCAAACTAAGATCACACCCTATAAAATTCCACTATCCAGGCAAGAGCCAATACCAGCTGGTTTATACCAGATAGACAGCCAACACCTGCTACAGTTACTGTGAGTTGAGTAATAAGAAGAGTAAAAAGGGAAGCACATCTCCTGATCACATCTACCTGGAGACAATCAGAAAACATAATAATACATAAACATACATTGAAATTACATTCAATTATTGAAAATGTCCAAGAAACAGCTGACCACATGTGCAGAAACAAGATAGAGTAACTGAGACAAATGAGCTGGAGATAGACCTAGCCTTCACATTGGAAGGAGAGCAGGCTTTGGAACTGCCTGAGAAGTAATTCAGAAGAATGATATTGAGGTGCATACAAATGTATGACAGAGGGGTTGAGAAAAATAAGGAAGAAGTCAGGAAAGTGCTACAGGAACAATCTAATAAGATAGATACAGCATTGGAAACAATTCAAAACCTGCAAAAAGAGGTCCAAACAATTAATAATAATAAATGATCAGAAATGGACAATACACCGAAAAAGCAAAGGAGTAGAACTGAAGAGATGGAAACCCAAATCAGTGAGCTAGAAGACAAATCTCTCAATATTGCTAAGATAGAAGAGCAATCAGAAAAAAAAGAAAAATATCTGAAGAAAGTCTAAGATTCATGTGGCAAAACATGAAGAGGAATAACTTGAGAGTTATTGGAATTCCAGAATAGGAAGAATCACAGAAGACCACAGGAGAAATAGTTGAAGAGCTTCTGGAAGAAAATTTCCCTAACATCTTGAGAAATGAGAAAGAAAAGTTTTCAAGAAGCTTAACAAATCCCAGGAAGGATAGACACCAAAAGAAAGTCACCAAGATATATCATCATCATGCTCTTCAAAATCAAAGGCAAGCAGAGTATCCTGAAACAGGTAAGGAAAAGAGAAGTGTTACTTACAGAGACAAATAACTGAGATTTAGCTCTGATCTCTCAGCAGAAACCATGCAGGCAAGAAGGCAATGGGGAGACATATATAAAACCCTGAAAGATAAAAAGTGCCAACCAAGAATCATCTACCCAGCAAAGTTGTCAATCAAATACAGCAGCATAATAAAAACATTCCAGGATAAACAGAAGCTAATGGACTTTTTCAAAGTTAAAAACATAAGAACAGAGATTCAGGTGATGAGGAACTTAGGTAGATTGCAGGGTAAAATAGGCTATTTTAAATGGACGAAAAAGTTAATACAATATAAGGTAATCTCAAAGAAAAGTAATACATCACAACATATAAAGAAAATGAAAATAGAAGAAAACATTAAAACTATGAGGAAACTGACAAGAAAGAACACAAAAGACATAAACTCAGCACAGGAAGGCATGCAGAACAAAGATGCCAACAGCCAATGCACAAAAAATAAATATAATGACAGTAATTAAATCATATCTATTGATAATCACATGAATGTCAATAAATTAAAAGCACCAGTTAAGAGACAGAGAGTGGTAGAATGGGTAAGAAACAAGATCCTTCAATGTGCAGTCTGCAAGAAACACACCTTACACACAAAGACAAAAAGAGATTAAAAGTTAAAGAATGGAAAAAATATACATACCAAGCTAGTTACAATAATAAACAAGAAGGAGTGGCAATAATAATCTTTAATAATATAAACCTTAAGGCAAAACCCACCATAATAAATAAACATGGACATTATCTCATGATTAAAGAGTCAATTGAACAAGATGACATAACCATAATAAATAGCGAATCTACCAACCAAAGCACTCCAAAATATATAAAGCAAACTTTAATAGATATGAAGAAAGAAATAGACAAGCCTACAATAAGATTGGGAGACTTTAACATTCCACTTTCGAAAAAGGATAGAACAACCAGAAAGAAACTTGACAAAGACACAGAGGAACTAAACAACACAATCAGCCAACTGGATCTCATAGATGTGTACAGAGGATTCAACCCAACAACAGCACAGTACACATTCTTCTCCAGTGCACATGGAACATTCTCCAGAATATACCATGGCTCAGGCCATATAACGAGCCTCCACACATTTACAAACATCAAAATACTACAAAACATCTTTTCAGACCACAATGCTATAAAATTACAAATCAATAATAAGAAGACCAAGGAAATAAAGCCAAATGCATGGGAACTGAATAACACCCTATTGAAAATCTAGTGGGTAATAGAAGAAATAAAACATGAATTCACAAAGTCCCTAGAAACAAATGAGAATGATAACACTACATACAAAAATCTTTGGGACACGGAAAAATCAGGGTTGAGGGGACAATTTATTGTAATGAATGCTCACATCCAAAAAGAAGAAAGATAATCAATATCTCCAACAGCTAGAAACAGACCAGTAAAGCAAACCTGCAGTCATCAGAAGAAAAGAAATAATAAAGATTAAAGCATAGAGTACATTGAGCTCCATAGAGACAGCGCCGGGCCAGGCAGAGCCGGACGGCACTGGGCGGACTCTGTGCCTCGCGGACGGAAAAAAATAACTAAACATGGGCAAAGGAGATCCTAAGAAGCCGAGAGGCAAAATGTCATCTTATGCATTTTTTGTGCAAACCTGCCGAGAGGAGCACAAGAAGAAGCATCCAGATGCTTCAGTCAACTTCTCAGAATTTTCCAAGAAGTGCTCAGAGCGGTGGAAGACCATGTCTGCTAAAGAGAAAGGAAAATTTGAAGACATGGCAAAGGCGGACAAGGCCCGTTATGAAAGAGAAATGAAAACCTATATCCCGCCTAAAGGGGAGACAAAAAAGAAGTTTAAGGATCCCAATGCACCCAAGAGGCCTCCTTCGGCCTTCTTCTTGTTTTGTTCGGAGTATCGCCCCAAAATCAAAGGCGAGCATCCTGGCCTATCCATTGGTGATGTTGCAAAGAAACTGGGAGAAATGTGGAATAACACCGCTGCCGATGACAAGCAGCCTTATGAGAAGAAGGCTGCTAAGTTGAAGAAGAAGTACGAAAAGGATATCGCTACCTACCGGGCTAAAGGAAAGCCCGAAGCAGCCAAAAAGGGAGTCGTCAAGGCTGAGAAAAGTAAGAAAAAGAAGGAAGAGGAGGAAGATGAAGAAGAGGAAGAAGACGAAGAGGATGAAGATGAAGAAGATGATGATGATGATGATGAATAAGTTGGTTCTAGCGCAGTTTTTTTTTTTTGTCTAT